AATTATATGAAGTCCTATTACACTCGTTACACACATTGTAATGCTCTACTGTAGCATTTTTATTACCTCCGCCACCATTTGTGTGTTTGTCAGCAAGATTTCCCGAAAACGGCTGAATGGGTTTAGAAAGTTCGTATACATCTGGACTATGACCCAACTTAGAAATTATTAGGTTTTGGAGGGTCGAGGTCACAGCAAGGTCACAAAAATAAAAAAAATCCCTATCTGTTAACTTGGGGACCGATTTTTCACGCTATTTTTGCTCTATAACTCAATAAAAAAGGACCGAATTTTGATAAAACTTGGTGGACATATCTAGAATATCATTCATCATTATCCTTCCTAACAATGGTTCGTGTTCGTTGATAAAGACAGACATATTGCCATATTTTCATATTTTTTTGAGGGCTGAATATGACCAACATTGCGTGGCGGAGGTATGCGCTCTACTGAATTCACCTCCAGCTTTCAATGAGTTAATTTTTGGGCCGCGCTCGGCCCAATGGTTAGCTTGCCGGATTGTGGATCCAAAACTCTCTGGTTCGTGCTATGTCAGTGCCTCCCCCCAAAAAACAACAAAAACAACAAACTATACAATCGTGCTCTGCAATCTGGGACCTTGGATGCGTTGTAAAAGATGCGTCAAAGAACATGTAACGGTCAAAGACAAACACAGAAAGTCCTGAAACACCCGTTCTCTTTTATTACACTGTTCTAGACGAAATGCTATCGAAATGCTATTGGCAAGTTATGATAAAATACCCTTTGGGTGACTAATCATTGTACAAATGTTAAAAATGTTTTTAGAATTAGACTTACCTTTCAGTTCATCATTACTACTACCCAATTCACACTATACATGTAATTTTGAACTTGATACATTACTTGTTATTTTGTGTTATTCATTAGGTAGAATCCAAACTGACCAACTTTATGTCATAAAGTTTTATTTTATATATTAGCTAGTGTTTAGACAAATAAAAGGACCGAATGCTCTACTGTTCATTAGTTCTTTCTTCAAACGTAAAGCCCAAAAACAGAAAGGATGTATTAAGTACGCACTAGAAATCAGCAGAACTTCTTTGTGAGTTGAATAGAAGATTTTTTAATAGGACAAATATACAAATAAAGATGTAATTTAATATTGTGATGAGCTTTACAGTAGAGATGTTTTTTCTTAAATATTTAAAACTGCGACATTTCGGTTCACAAGAGGGGCTACCTTCGAACAATGTATGACTCATGGAGGTAAGAACTGTTATTGTTGTTCATACCATGGATTTAGGAAAAAAACATTTTTCCCTCCACGAATGATGCATTGTTTTAAAATACCCCGCTCCTTTGAGCTCAAATGTCGCAGTTTTAATTATTTAAGAAAAAACATTTCCACTGTAAGCTGATCACGATATTAAATTGAATCCTACAGTGGGATCCTAATCTTTTAGAGTATAAAAATAATGATTTGCTTTTAGACTCTGAATAATTAGTAACTGATATAGCAAGTAGAATTTGACTTTTAAAAGTTGATTAGTGATCAGCTTTCGTGGCTATAGGAATACCAGCGGTACAAGATAAACATAAAAATTCCATGTAGTGCCTAAAGATGTCCAATTGTCATATGATAACACTTATATATATATATATAGGCTTATTACACAAATAAGTGTTAATTGTTAAACACAACCTTTTAGGGAAGTGACATAAAACTTCTAGTTAACTAGTCCAGTATAAATAATTATTGAAGAAATAAGTACCTTACTAACTCTTCATTTGCTCTTAACCTAACTTAAGCGCCCACTAGTGGCACAGCGGAATGCCTGTGCACTTAGAATGCTAGATACCGGGTTTCGATAGCCCAACTTAAGTAGTGCTCACCTAACTCAACCACTAGAAAAGGGTATTAATAGTAATATCATGCACAGGTAACGTAAACTAAACTATCACAAACGATCGAAGTTTGAGCAGTATATTATGTATCTAATCTTAATCTAGCTTAACGAACAGAAGACAATACTAAAAGTAGTTTAAGTCCACTTATCCTAATTATAAACAAAAAAGGACTTAATATTGGAATGCATAAAACCAGCTGCTTAGTTCGAATACTGTTTACGGCAGTCCCGTATAAGTTATACAATCTGTATTTAGGTTAACGGTATAAAAGTTTGATTTTAGTAAAATCAGAAATTTGTTTCATTATTTTGGAAAAGGACAAAACAGTTTAGCCGAACCATTTGTGATCCCTTTTTTATAAAGATTGTGGTATGTAATTTCACCTACGTTAATTTAGTCTTAATAGAGACAAGAAAAAATAACAATTTCATTAGTATTCGCAGTTGCTTCGTAAATACAGTATATATATCTATAACTAAGCCTATGTAGTGTCATGTATTTAAACACTTATCACGGAATTTAATAATGGGGAAACGATAAATGTTATAAAAGTCGTTACAAAGAGGTAGATTTAAAACCGTCTGATTTACAGAAACCGACTTAAAGCATATTTATTCTAGAGTTATAAGCATTTTAGTAAATTAACTACCAACTACTTTGTTGAATACCTATCCCTACAAATCGTCAATAAAATTGTGTTTAATAATTCTAATTATACAGCTATCGATAATAACAAATCATATATAGGTGTTACGAAAGTCAAAGATTTGAACCAAACAAGTCATGAGTATCGTCTGCTTACAAATGATATAATTTTAAACTGCCCTACAAATATATCAACAAGCGTTGCTAGAATCCCAGATTATTTTCTGTTAAAACACCAAATTCTGACACTTTACAACCATCTCGATTTACTTTTAGGGACTTTAAACTGCCCTACAAATATATCAGCAAGTGTTGCTAGAATCCTAGATTATTTTCTGTTAAAACACCAAATTCCGTCCCTAAAAGTAAATCGAGATGGTTGTAAAGATGTCTAGAATGCAATCTGTCAGTTGACAAGTACTCTAAAAATTCCAAATTTCATATGATTTGATTACACATTAATACAACCAGCTTCAATTTTCATCTGATACATTGAAAGTCAAATCAAAATTCACTGTGTGTGATTTTCCTCTGTCTAATAAGATGAAAGCTGCTTCATTATCAAATCTTTTTAGTGAAACTGAAAGTCTACTTCTTATATTGTTATCAATGTAATTGACACATAATGGGGCAAAAACGACCAGACAAAACGGTATTTTATTGGCATTTTGTTGGGGAGGTTATAATAATTTAAATAATTGACCACTTGATACTACTTATATGTCATTATGCCGCTATATACATACATATATATAAACAGAGAACAGGAAGTTCTGTTCTCCATTTAATTTGGAACGTCTACTACACATAAATGGTTGCATAGATGCGTTAAAAAATGTTTATCCCAAAACACTTCATTCAAAAATTATTTAATATTATATTTCGATAAGCACAAGATCCAAAGGTAGAATCCCAAATAATTAGGTGCAAAGCTATATCTACTAGCTCCAAACATCAGAGTCACAAATTAACATAGATATTCTAGAAATCGATTTGCCACTTTCGTGATGCGATTATGTATGGCACTCCTGAATACTTCAGAATTACAAATTATGAACATATCCATGTGTGGAGCTCTTGAGCACCTTTGTTTAGGGTTACAGAGCAGCCCTATATATGATATTGAATGTGTTCGCTGAGAGTTATATAGCATGTACCTCGGGTGATCCGTCTAAGAAATCACTAAATGTAGAATGAAGACATTACTGATATATAAATAAATGGTGTTTAATGTTGATAATGGGAAAAAAATATTCATGTTTTTTGCAAACTTTAATGTTTTAGCATATTGTGAATAAAGTTTTCCAACTCTTGTTAATATAGTTTCATTGTGAATCTTCTCTGTCAGTTCTTAGTCTACTCTCTAATACTCTCCAATATCATTTATTAGGCTTAAATCACTAATTTACTAACCTTGCTTCCAATGGGTAGCAACTGGCATTTCCGCTATGATTTGGACTGGGACACTTTGTCCTTTGGAATTTGCGCTATATACTAGTAGAATAAACTCTCCTCCAGAGGACAATGTAGCTAGATGAAAGACGGGGCCAGTATCGTTTGTTATATTAATCTGAAGGGATCTGTCTCCCGAGTCGTAAACTTCAAGGTGGAACTCCTGATGAAGGCCACCATTGTGTCCCGGTAAACAATCTAAGATTAAGTCATGTTCGGTACTATTGATAACGGTGCAGTTAGTGACTGGATCTGGAGGATCTGTTGGATAGAGAATTTAATATTATCAAATGATCAGCGTTTCTAACTTTCAAATAAATGTACTTATAATATTTCCTCAACTTTCTGTTTTATTTACATTTGTAAAACAATAATGCAAAATTCATTACAGTTAAGTTTCATTAAAACTATAGCTTTGAAGCAATTCTAGCTTCAGTTTCCTCTGCTAAAATTATTGCTTATATCTAATGAGTTTTACTCCCAGGTATACCTTTCAACATCAGATTTTCAATTAAATACACTTCTTATTCTTTATATAATTAATTGTAATTAGCAATAAACAGATACAGTTTTGATAATTTTTCGTTTTGCCTCATGGAATACCCCTTTTTTAATCAGTCCCCTAGTCTAGGAACATATTCTCTACCTTCCTGCTGAACTCGTTACAAAAAAGTCAAAGGAATCTAAAAGAAGGGGTCTAACTGCAGAAAGAAGGGACAAGATATGTCATAGGAGACATATTCAAAAGAAAGTTTACAATACAGAGGTTGAGAATGTCATATTAAAACATTTTGGAACTTCACCGTTACGTTACAGTCCTTGTCGCTGCGTCCAGTCATGTTCTATCTGACGACTGTACTTAATAACAGCCTTACAATAGTCCAAAGTACACCCCTCCTCCCTGCAAGTTCATTAATTTTTCTAGTGTACAAAGATGATGGTTTCTCAACATCGTATCTATAATCCAACTGTACAGAAATCAATAGGCACAGCACCTGGCGACTTGACCAGTATATCTTCGTATGGAATTGAATGAATACTCGTTTAATTTTCCGGCTGTTTGAGGTATGCAACGGTTGAACGTATATGTCGTGGAAGTAACTGGTGTATAGATCACTTGTGCCCCGTTTCCAGATATAGATCATTTATGATTATGTCGCATATTTTGTCCTGGAGCATGTGGAAGGCTTTTGACACTGACCTTTATGTTCGTGTATTTTCACCTATTACAAGACGCCACACTTTGCTTACCACGTCTGGAGCACGGTTTGTTGGCGGTCTCTTTCTGGATGATTCTATTGTCCAAGTCTATATTCTGTTCTTTTGTTTTCGAATGCCAAGTACAAGGAATAGCCCTGTCTTAGAAATTCTCAATCCCCAATTCTAACTCATTCTTACAATCTGAATGTGTAAATATTTTGTGCTAGAAAGGGCTGTTGGATACCCTTTCAAAAAACCGAACAATTTTTGATGGCATCACACAACCTTGTAACGTCAAACAACTTTCAAA